CTGCTAGCCAGTTCTATTTCCAGTCTTACCCAGCCAGACCAGTGGAACTGTCCTGCTACTGCCAATCGCAGGGCTACACTGCTGCTTGATGCGATTGATGCACTGGGTGGTCTTCTAAATCGAAATGATTTGGTTAAACTTATCAATCGATTTCCTGGTTAGTTTTTCATCCCCCATGAATTGCTTCATTTTTTAATATTTCATAATTACTGTTTGTTCTCCTGATTAGTTTTCCTTATATGATCTTCATCGATATCACAATAGCTTTGATTAAACCCCTATTGTGTGCACCAGGTTCCAAGGCATATCCATTCTTTATGGGGTGATTGCTAGCCAATTTTTCTCGTTTCTAACTAAATTTTCACTCATCGTATCGTGAAGTCATGTATCTTTGAAAGTGGCACATTGGAAAAATTCTTACGATAGATTAGGTATAAGCTGACTTTCGTTACTTGCTTACTATATGGTGGTTGACTCCTGGGCGAGAGTAAGCCGGCATCATGGATATCCCGCATTCCAACTGGCCACGCTCGGTGGTCAGCAGCAAGGTCTGCGCAGATTGCAATCCAGTCTGACTTCCATTGACGATTGCTTTATACGCAGCAGAGGTCAAGGTGTTTTACACCCTTCTGTACCGTGTCTAACCAGATTTTCAGCTGTCAACTGCGTCGACAGAGACAGTTGGGGCAGGGAGACGATGCTGAGGTGACTTTGATTTGGTCGTAATCTGATTTACGCAGTTTGTCCAAACCATTGAAGTTGTCGCCGCTGAACGAGCGTGCGTTACCGCATTAGATTAAAGCGTTTTGACGGTAAGCGGTTGATTATAATTGGGGAAGCTGAGTAGTCTGTCACCATTCTCGCAAAGATGATCCAGAGCAATGCTCCCTACGATGTGCCTTGTGGACTAGTTCGAAAGTTCCGGTCTCCAGCTATGGCAGGTACATCCTTTTTGGTACTTCATTGACATGCAATTGAAGGCTGCCATGGAATTCATCCTTAACGCTGTTGTCAGATAGGAGAGTCCGGACGTAGACAGCGATCACTGTAAGGTTTACCGGGTGGCCCTTGAATCGCGCTACCGTCATTCTAGAGTATAACGATTTCCAGGAAGATTCAGCAATATTAGTCCGGTGGCTTCAATCAAGTAATACTCCTCATTGACCCGAATCTCCTTTGCCGCTGTGATAAAGCCATTATTAACTTCCAATGCTACAGATTTTGACACTTTTGGAGCCGGAGCCCTTTAGCTTGACTTCAGATAAGCATATGATTTCCAGCTGATAGTCATGCAGCGCGCTTGTCATTAGCNCCTGATTTCCGGCATCTAAGAGTGTTCCTACGTTCCAGCCTTCAGAATAAGATTTTTTCGTAGCTTATGGTGCCTAGTGCTCATATTTGTAACCCTGGACACTCAAATAGCACAAGGCGCATCGCTTCCTGAGAACACCGTGGCATGATTAAAGAGGCCATTTAAATGATTATCCGTGACATTTATTCGGATTCAGGTACAGAAAACATCCTCAGTATCACCCGGTTTCAGGTCGAGGTGGCACCTCTAGCCTTTGCACATCCAAGTGCTAACTGCAAGGCAACAAGAAGGTTGCACACGATTGCTGGCGACTCCTGCGCCGTTGACAATTTCTAGCTGCACAGGAGTTCCTGCAGTCCTGGGGAGTACAAAGCCACCACCTTGACCCTTGAGTCGTGTGAGCGACTTCGTCCGCTGAATTCGGAAGTACTGAATTTCTTACGTTAGACATCGATTAGACGGGATTTGAGCTCCCATTTATCGTGAGCCTGGTTTGCTCCGCCTGTTCAGTGGTTTACCGAGTTGTCGCAGCGTTTGCATCCAGACATATTCTTGGGGTCACAAGTGAGAGCTCGATGCCTGGTGGAAACCCAAAAACGCAGAATACTCCAAAGGGGCCGACAGACCTCAGAGGTGCTACTCATACCATGCATCTGTGAACATAAACTTTATCACTTTATGAGACCATTACCTTCATCATACCTCCTCGGCATTTTAGTTGGCTCATTGTTTTAATCAAACTAGTCGTGATAGCTTTTGGATTACAGCTTGTCAAAATGTTTTTCACATATTTTACCTACTTCAGCTGTTGACGATCTATTTCCTCCCATTCCAAAACAAATGGTGGCCACGAATCTGCAGTTCATGTCTCAATAACTCGCTCTACTTTATCTGATTTACATTGAACCTTTCGCTACCATATCCTCCAGTCGTGACATCTTTTTCAATAGATTTTATCAGTGAACTACCGGAACACGCTGTTTTTCAGTTTCAGTCTTTACAACCATTAACCATGCACTGTTGTGTGCCGGTTTTGGTTACTGTCTTTCGGCTGCCCATTTGGGATAAAAAGAAGGATAAAGACGGGAATGCTAAAAGCCAATTCAAACAGAAGATAGAGAATTCATATAGACTGTTGTTAAGAGAATAATGGGTAAATGCATGAGCACTATTTGTGAATGCGCTGTGCAGCTGTTCCAACTGTGTGCATCTTCAGACAGAAATCAATGGTTTAGTTAATAAAATGGAAGTTATCCATCCTGGCAAATGCATTGATCTATCCAGTTACCAAAATGTTGATTGGATTGGTTCAATTAGTATATGTGCAATGTCGTGCAGCTCATGTTTGCTTTTAGTAGTTCGGTTTAGTTCTTACAACCATTAACCATGTACTTTCGTGCGCCGGTTTTGGTTGCCTATTTGGATAAAACAGCAGCATGATGATTAGAATGTTGAAAGCAGATTCAAGCGGAAGATAGCGCATTTACGTATACAGAAGTTACAAGAATAATCAGTAGATGCATGAGCGCCACTCTTTGCGACACCCAACCATATCACTCAGTGTCTCTAAGGATCGGTGACCATGAACTCGGGGTTCCCAACCAGGGCGCCTAACGGGACCTATGTGAGCTATTATCCTGGTCAGGGTTTACATACCCTCGTGCCCGGTCTTCGTTTGACCGCCCTTGACCTTTTTACAACCGCTACCCGCCTCGGCAAACATCGCTCGCAGTAGCAACCTATCTGGTGACACGCGTAACACATCCCCCAACCAGCGTGATCTATTGAGGTCGATCACTTGCTCCAGTGGACGACCGCGACTGCCTAAAACTCTGAGCCTAACCTCAGCATTGCTCGTCCGGTTTCTCCACCAGACTCGTGCAATGTGCTTTTAGTAGAGGTGGATTTGCCGCAGTTGAACGGCATTCTTTGTTCACCCAGTGAACCTCTGCGTAACTTTCTACTGAGCTCTAATATTAATCAACGGATTGGTAGTGTTAGGGTACCCTAGTATAGAGTGTGCTCCATTTCTCGACAACTTGAGATACACTTAAAATGTTAACATTACGAGTTTACTCTCGGAATCCCATGTCACAATCTGCTCTGATTTGGTAATACATGGGATGCGAGAAAGCATTCAAATTCATTTCGAATTCGATAAAGTTATCCATGCAAGAAACCACTGCAAATACAATAGCATATTGTAGACACGTTCGCTCTCATTCGAATCAAGCTGCAGGGGCCGACCTGTAGCGATCTGTATTGGCCACAGTCAATCATTAGAGGTTCACAGCCCACACAGTTTTCGGTTACATGACTGGCGACCAGAGGCCCACCTACCATTCGCTCCTCACCTTTTGACCTCCGTCTCTAGTCACCCGAATTAAACGGTCTCGCTGTGATCAGCTTGCTATGCTGTTTATATCAATGTATTTTAGAAAACGACTTCATCTAGTCGCAGTTTATTTTGACATGCGTGTATGTGTTATTCTGTTTCAACACATTTTAGCTTTCATTTATTTGCTCTCCCCAATTTCAGAAGTTCTTCTTCGTTCTAAGCAGGACCTATCAAGGATACACACTTATTTAACTAACAATATGAGCTTACAGTCATCGGAACTTGCTCGAGCCACTCAGACGCGAGCATACAGACACGTCTTACGCAAAACGACTGGATTGCGAGTCACCAGTTGTCCTGCTTGGCGTCTTCCGTTGAACAAAGTCCGCGCTCGTCATCTGCTAGCTGTTTTTGCCGGTCTGTGGCCACCCAACCAATCCACCGTAGACGGTATCACAGGTGTGTTTTCGGCAACATTTTGTTGAGTATTTAGAATAACTCCTTCTCTATATCCAACTAAGTGAATAATAACGGAATGGTATGGAATATACGCATTCCGAGTGTATGTGTGCTCCTTACATGATCAGATGATCACGATATTGAAGTGTTAATAAATTTTGTGAATACAGAATAAATTTCTATGTGATGTTTCACCATCAGCTGATCTAGGTTGTTTTCTCTGACCAGTTTGATTCTTACGGGGTCTGTTGGCTGAATTGCGTCGTATTGTTTCTGTGTAATGAGTATCGAGTCAATGCGACACATTTTCGGACAGTTGTCGATCACCTGTGTTTTACAGGTATGATTATTATTGCCCATCCAGTTTGGTGACGGTACTGTACGGCTTAGGCGATTTTGCTCGTTTGGACCGAACAATCGATCATTCTTTTGAAAAACAGAACACATTTCTGGTGGGTGATTTGAACGTTTTTCTGTTGCAGCATTTTGCTGCCCACACACTTGTAACCTCAACAGGGCCATTTCTTTTAACGTTCACAAGGAAATATGAGTGAGAGAATTTTTTTAATTACGATTCAACCGAACGAGCGCAGATTACAGGCTTTCAGTCGGAGGATCAAAATAGCAGATGATCAGTCTGCTAGTTGTTGCCTGTGATTAATGCATCCTTGTGTCACGAACTTGGTGATTATTTCTTGCAACTTTGAAGAATGTTACGGGTGCGCCTTTCATCAAAATTGTTTTGAGATCGATGCCACTTTTGGCTTCAATCATCTCAACGTGCCTTCATTGTTCTTCTTGTCTGTGTGGGATAGTTTTTGACAGCTAACAAAAGGAACTTGAATCCACTCATTCGGTCTAGCTCTATAGTGCAAACTTACACCAATCTTTATAAATTGCATTCGGGATCAATAGCGTGATTGTTTCGTTGGAGGAAATTATTATTAATAGTATTATTATTATTATTATCATTTCATACACGCAAACTTTATCAAACAAGTCACGATACAAAAATACTCGTTGCATACAAAATCAACTCTTGATTTGGTAGTGGATGTTATAATCTCAGAGCGTTTAAACCAAATCACATGATTTGCTAAGGGTTCTAAAATCAGAGTCTTAGACTAGCCGAAATCCCATCCTCAGGGTAGCGGTGTAATGTGTACAAATCGTAGTACATCTGGGCCGGGGTCAAGTTAGTCGGATTTCATTTCATTGTGCCGTGTTCAAGGTGCACCCAATTTCCTAATCAAACCGGTGAATATCATGAACAGGATGTCCTGGAGGCAGTTGATACGCCTTTTACCGGGCGGATGAGATAGTGCTTTCTTCGACCTCGTCTTATTTTTTTTAATTACCGGTTCATATGTCGGTTTTTTTTTATACTACTTTGAATGATGCGGAATTTTGAGTGGGAAAGGACTTTCCGGTTCATTTTACTTCTTTTTGGCTTTGATTTTCAGGTGATCAACGTTTGGCAAAATTATTGACCGCTCCAGCAGTCCAAGTACCTTTTTGGTTGGGTTCGCTCTCCAGTGAGAATCCAGAACAGGGTTCCAGTGCTCTCCCTCAACCTGGTACTTCATCCCAGTCTTCATATACTTTGACCGAAGCGGATGTGAAAGCGTTCGAAAGTTTGATTGCCGACCTCAACTTTGACGAATGTACTGGGGACAGTGGTACAGAAGCTTCCAGTCCAATCACAGATCATACCCGTTTCCAGTCCTCTATTCACGAGGAACTGGAATCCACTCAGATCGATTCGGATGAGGATTAGCGGTGTGTGTGTATGCGCACACACTGCTGAGACACAGCAACCCAGGGACCACGGATCCCCCGTGCCCCCCTCCACTCGCATTGTAACACTGTTGTGCAATTCGTAGGCATTTGTAAAGGGGAACCGTTGCTGTTCGGAATTGGTCGTGCTTTCACAGAATCTAAATAACCATATAATCCATAGCATTTATCTGATGTGTTTCTCCTCCCTGGGTCAATAATACATTTTGGTTTTATCATTAATGGGAATGGAATGCGGTCCTACGGTCTTTATCATCACCCTTTTTAAAATCAGTGTTGATGAGGCTGTGTAACAATACATGAGATGGTACTCGTCAATCACAAGTTACCTGTAAAAGGTTATGCTGTACCGTACTCCAATACCGGATTTCAGATGAAGTATATTTATTCACGAACTGGAACGCGAAATTCAATTCGATGATTGATGCTGCCACAGTCATACCTGGTTTATTGTACACCTTGATAGTTGAATGTGAAATGCTGGCATGTACTACCTCGTCTCATATCATTTAGACTATCGGATTAGGGATCTTAGAACCATGGTTTCTCTATAAATAATATCAAAAAACGTATGCTCGCAACTTTCAATCCCAAATACACCGACTTCCATTAGTTAAAAAATACTATAGTGCTTCTATTAGTCAAAATCTTGTACAGGCCGTGAAATTTTCAGTCTAGTTATTTTTTGATAGTGTCAATCTAGATAATCCGATTATTTTTAATCGTTTCTGTTTTGCTCCGTTCTGATTGCTATTTATTTGTGCGTTAGAAAATGCTTCAGGAAAGATCAGAGTTCGATTATTCCCTCTAATCTAATTGCCATTATCTCTCAACCGATCAGGCTAATTGATCAGTATTCTTACTTCGTTTTTGTTTACTAACTTCCTAACCTAAACTCTCTTCTTGTAACTGATCGATCCTTGATAAAATGTCATGCCTTAAGTTTTGACAGTATCATCGTCTTCCGCCCCTGCTAATCTGTCTGGTGTGATTTTGAGGCCGAATACTTTGCACCTTATTCTGTTGGTTGAATGTGCCCATGTGACTTTTTTCCCTAAAATAAACTGAGTTCTGGTCGTAAACATCCGGAACAATGAATTTCATCATATTGTTAGTTGGAGGAAATGAATTACTGTCAAATAATATCCACCAAACTCAATGAGCGAGCGAAAAACACCTGCACCTTCTACGGTGTGTACTGTGTGTGTGTGAATCTTTTAGAACAAGTATTCCAAATTTGGCATCCTATAAATCTATGGTTCTTTAGTACCATAGCTTAGTGAACTGATTTAATTTTCGCTTGTTCAACGTACTTGGCAATTTGTTTACGACTGTTTGATCACCAGCCGAAGTGACATCTTCAATGCTTGTGAAGTGGCAGTGTTATGTTTGTACCCATTCGTTTTTATATATTCTTCAGTGATTATTTTTTCCCTTGATCATCAACCTGGTTGACCTAGCTCAAACAGAGAGGGAGATCAGCTGATATCTGTGAACTCATGAAACTATGCTTACAAACTTGTTTCGAATTCGAGGGCTAAATTCACGAACAACCGAAAAGGATGCCAATGGGAGCATTGATATATGGCCTCATAGTCGAGGCCTTAATGCAGAAGCTGGAGAATAAAGTATCTCTTAGATTCAAAACAAAACTTTGACTCCAAAACGTTAATGACATATTTGTTATCTTGAAAAGTCGGAGCTAGAAAAAACAACTTCAATAGCACATTCCATGACATCGAACTGAGACGGAGCACGATAATCAGCTTGCACTTTTGAACATACTCATCACCACAACGCCATTGGGAAATCTAAAGACAACTGTCTATGGCGAAACAACGTATACGAATCAAATCCTAAACTTAAAGAAGAATCATACACCCAACCGCAAAAAATACTTTGTTAGGACCATGTTTTGAAGAATTCAAACAAACTGGAGCACCGACACGCTATCTTTTCAGTGTCCTGGTTAGCAACGGTTACACCTGTAACCTCATCGAACGAACTCTGGTCTAGAGAAAAACACAAAGGACAGACGGAAAGCCACGATCAATTAAAACTCCGCCATACATCGAGGACTTTTCGGAATTGATATCCCAACTGCTCGGGTCAGACGAAACCCAAAACCCGAGCGCCTGCCTACGGAAATTTTTCCAAACCACAGGAGATAGAAAAGAGCAACGTTATCTACAAAATAAATTTCTAAGACTGCTAAAAGCACACTATCGGACAAACTGGAAGAAAATTATTAACAGGGATGTGTGAAAACCAACTGGCAGTCAGGAGGCCTTTCAATGATTCCCCTCCATGAGAATCGAGAATTATATCAATTGGACTTGGAATCAGTGTGAATCATCGTACAAGCCCCGGGCAAACACATAGACGAGTTTATCGAGGCTTGACACTCTTCAATCAACTCGGTGAATAGGTACATCGAACTGGATCATGTGTACACAATGCAATTCAAGGATCAATTGACGCGATAAAAGGTTTTGTCGTGACCTGAGAACGAACCAAAACCCTCAATGCCGACAGTTGAACTCCCCGGTCTCTCTCCCCTGTGGTTCAGGGGCAAACCATATTGAACACGAGATATAGGAACCAAAATAGTCGCCGCAGAGGAATATATATAAGCGAGCGGGTATAAGTAGACCACTGCCGCCTGGAAAGCACTAAAGATGTCTCCATGACTGGCGATGAACCATTTGCAAACAAATTTCCGAGCCTAGCAAACAGGCGGTTGATATATATATATATATATATATATATATATATATATATAT